CACTAAAGAGTACTATTATAACCTAGATAAAAATTATATAACAATAGCAATATTGCATATCTCTATTGTAAAGCTTTGCTTTAACTTTTACGCTTTTCTCTTCAAACTACCTTAATACCAGAAGTTCTGGCTGAGCCTTCTAATCTGTATCTTAAGCCAAGTGCTGCCGCTATCCAAGGACCCATATCTCAAGCTACTTGCTGCTACTATTAAAAGTATCTTAATCATTAGCTTTGACCAAACTAGTAGCACTATATCTGAATTAGGCCAGACACATAGTTGCTATCTACTATATTGACCAAAAAAGGAAACTAGTAAACAATGTCGATCTTTAAATAGGAGCAAGTTGTTTTGCCTACTTTTCTTTGAAAATTTTGTTGCCAAGACAAATAGGTGAGTAGAAAGAAAAATTTTTTTTAGAGTAATAAGTGACTAAACAAATAGCAGTTACTTGTCATGAACTGTTTTTCCCAGATAAACTCTTCTTTTTGGTAAGTGATAAACTTTGGGCCTGTTAGCAAGTAGCATATAAGAACTACTTCTAAATGACAGGTGCTGTCCTAGCAATAAGTGATAAACTCTAAACATGTTGGCAGGTAGCATATAAGAACTACCTCTAAATAACAAGTGCTGACTTATAGCTTTGTTCTGACTTCAGGCACTTCCTATAACTTCTTCACTGTGTTTTGAGTTTGAAAAATTTTCTGAAAAATTTTAGTATAAGAGATCATCAAAAAGAGTTGCTAATGAATTTAAAGAATTTATAATTTAATTTTTAGCTTAATATCTTATATATTTAGCTTTGTACAAGTTTTTAAAAAGTGTCTATAATACCATAGTACCCCATTATATAATTACAACTTTTGAATATAAAGCTAAAAAATATTTTAATTGGCTATTTGTTTAATAACTATTTTGGTAGCTAAAGCTGAGATTAGCTAAAGCAAGATTTTAAAATATTTTAATATTAAATTTTAAAATTTTTTAGGATTTTTTGTTAGATTATATTAGAGTTTAGAGATAGTTTTATTAATAAAAGTATATAAATGAATTTTAGTAAGTATTGTAGATTTAAATAAAGGCCTTCCAATTTCAGCTTTAGCCAATCTCAGCTTTAGCCACTACAATTATTAGTTTATATATTATGCAATATAAAATATCCAATATTCAATATTTTTTGTTTAATAAATTGAACTATAGTCGTCTAATATTCAACCTAGCTAAAAATAGATTAGCTAGCTAGGTTAGCTATCAACTAATATCTAGTAATAGCAGCTATAGCCAATTAATTACTTGATCAATTTCTTAATTAATTTTTTAATCAAACATATAAACAAGTGACAAATAATTATATTTTTATATATTATATAGTTATATGATATTAGATTACCCCGGCTATGGCGAAAACAAGCTCAGATTACAAGCTATAAACAACCAATCAAAATAAGATCCGATCTACAATCTAATTCTGGTCAAATTTGTAGGTCATTTGGCCTATTGGAGATAAGTTTAAAACTCATCCTCAAAAGGCCAAACGATCTGCAATTTGACCAGAATTAGATTGTTTTGAAAATGTAAATCGGTCTATATGAAATTTTGTTTGATGATTGTTTTGAAAATGTAAATCGGTCTATATGAAATTTTGTTTGATAGTTGTTGAGAAATCTTCACTAAACTGTAAATTTTCTTTTTTTAACTTTAAACGAAGATTACTCAAGAGCCATTGATTCAAATTTGAAGAATTTTTTTTTTATTTCTGTAAGTTTATAGAATTAAAATAGCAAACCGTGTTTATTTACAATAAAATACCTCAGCTGTTGCACCAAATTTGCCATGGCAATACTCGATTTTAATTGTTTAACTGCCGTGGTCTACTAAATTTTGGCCCGCATTATACAATTGTTACGTATTTTTGGGCCGGAATTAAGGTTTGCCTTTTTTATTATAAAAATAGAAATTTTTAGAAAAATAATTCTAGTATGGTAAAATTAGTCCACTTAATAGGAAGCTGTGATTTCATTAAAATCGAGAATCTGCAGTGGCGTGGACAGCTAGGGTATTTCTTGCGATAATTTGTGCAATTCATGCTGAATTAAGCAATAATTATGATTTAACAGCCAGAAAATAAAAATTGGCATTGGCTAGCTGGTCAGCTAAGCCGTTCTAGTCGACTAAGGCTATAGCCGGGCGACTAGCCAACCTAAGCCCAACGCTGATACTATCTTTTCTAAAGCCATATTATATTTATCTATTTAATAAGTCCTACACAAGAATAAAGTATTAAGTTTTATCAGAAGTAATTTAGACCTAACTAATAGCTTTGAGAAACTATTTTCGAGATTTAACTCTACCTTAAACGCTTTGATCATTTCTTTTTACTCGACTATTTTTTACTTGTATACCCATTTTACTATTACAAAATGTAATACACACAGTAACTTCACTTCTAAGTAAAGTTTTTCTGTTTTGTGATTATTTTGTGATTATTTTGTATAGCGAAGGACAACGCTTTTCTAAACCTAATTATAATATCTTTCATAAGTAAAATTGTGAAACGTTGCAATTTGAAAAGTACTTTAAACTGTATAAATTAGTTACCCGGGCAATTGATTTACATCAGTCAATCAGGATGTCATCCTATAACCGTTATTGCGGGTGATATCACCACTGGTGATAAATAGTAAAATGAGAATATTCACTAAAAAAGAATAAATCGATGGCCAATCGCAAAATGAAGTCCTGTACGTTATATGTTTTATCTCTTAATTAATTTATCGTATTCACTTGCCATTTACTTTTAATTATGCAATCCCGTATTAAAAATATAAAAATTTATAATCATCTACCGTATTTCTCTAAAAATAAACACCTTTGGCCCGAGTTATAATTATTTTGGCGAACATTAAATGTAAAAAAGGGTGCTTGTTTTCGGAGGAATACGGTATTTTTCTTCGCTAATAAAAATTTTGTGTTTATGCCGATCATTGCTGTGCCGATAATAATCATGTGTGTTGTTTCGGTAGAATTTTCCTATGTAGCGCTAGTCGCACGTACGTACGGTACGTACGTACTAGTAATCCTTCAGGCATAAGATCATCATTCTATTTTTAGGTTCAAACATTTAACAATGTTTCTTGTTTATTTATAAAAATATTGTATTACTTATTTCCATTATTACTTATCGCTATTTTGCATCTATAAAATCATTTATTACTCTATTAGTTATTTAACATTGCTCAGCCCCAATTTACAGTTACACTATTTGTAGTACTAAGATTAGATATGATGTCAATATAATAACGCGTATAGAATTTATTGACGCGTAGGTCGTAATTATTGATGAACTGGTTAAATGACAATTGACGAATTAGGATAGGTACAAAGATAAGGCATCATATTTTGTGTAAAATATGACAAAATTTTAATTAAAAAAGATTTCAATTTTTGGCTACCAATTAATTTTTGACATGATAATGTTACGTTAGTTAACGTTGAAAGAAATGATAAATATAGGAAATAATTTAATTATGTAAATGATAACTTGGCATATATATACTGTATAAATATTTTTTTCATAGATAAGAATAATTTATATCAATAATAACCTCCATTCATTACTTGCGGTACGTACGTACGTGCTCATTTAAATTATCTATTTATAGTAAAATTGGATTGAGTATATACCTGGTGATTGGTATGCAGGATCTTTTAAAACTTAAATTAAAATTTAGTACGTAAGCTTAAAGATCATCATCGTCAAAAAAATTTTATCTTCAGAAGATTGTGTTACATAAATAAGAAGGGGCAAGTCAATTATACTTTTTTCAATAAAATTCTATATACTATATACTGTACTTAGATATATTCAATATACAGTACCTATTATTAACTATTATCAACTATATATTATTAATAACTATTATTAACTGATGTTTTCAACCCTGACGAAGAAGTTTTAAGTCATAAACAGTTAATACTATCTAAATGTATATGAGTGCCGCTAAGGGAAAACCAGTCATCGGGCTTTCAATTATATTTTGTACCGGACATATTCCCTAAGAAATCAAATAGATTTGTCCGTACAAAATATAATTGAAAACCCGATGACAGGTTTTCCCTTGGCGGCACTCATATTTTATACTTTAATTACAGTATTAAATGAATAAATTTTAAATTTTTTTTAATCGTAACGGTAACAGTAATACGTATTTAGAAATTTTATTTTACAATACTTAATTAGTGAATGCCGTTTAAACGCATAAACTTGAATTTTTTTACATCCACGGGATAGTATATATCTTTTTGTACCCACGGAATAGTATTTAACTTTTTATATCCACGGGATAATATTAATTTAGATAATATTAACCGTATCCGATATATGGAACCTAACTATAACTATATTTGAACTCTAATTATTAATAATATATATTTAAGGAATGAACGATATATACCTTTAAATAGGTGATTTTTTTTATTTTCTAGTTTATCACAAATTATATACTAAATTATTACATTCCAAATCGATACCTATGGCTCATTACTATTTGTACTAAAAAAGTTGATCAACACAATTATCAATGATTAATCAGAGATTTTCGCAATTTTTTTTTAGTTTTTAGTTTAGGCGAAAAACTTTACTACGTAAAGTTAGTACAATAATCTTATGTGCATTCATTTTCTTTCATAACTTGAAAAAGATAATCAGATGTGACAAGATTTATGCAAATGTTTTTAATGTTTTTGTAAAGTTTTTTTTAATGTTTTTGTAGTTTTTTTAATGTTTTTATATCAAATACTAAAAAAAAACCAAGATTTAAAATAAACACAATGAGATAGAAAGAGAAAAAAAGAAAAGAGAATATAACTATGAGATATATATAATGATAGATATAGATAACAGAAAATTGTCCAATAATATATATAAGTATATACAGAAATATGATAAAAAAAAAAAAAAGAGAATAAAAAAAAATAATATAAAACTAATAATAAAACTAATGTCTATTGACACTCTTCAAATAATGAAGTATGTCTAGTTTTTTTTTTTTCCGAAAAAGAATTTCCAGAAATTTTTTTCTTGAGTATTTCGATAACCTTTTTAGACTGCAGAAGAGACAAGCAACTAAAGAAAGTACCAAAAACTCAAAGCAGAGAAGAGTCATTAATTGAAAGTCCAGTGGACGAAACTTCTATATACATAAATAGAAAAAGGAGAAGAATTAATGAATTATACATAATTCATTAGAATAAAAAAAAAGTTCAACAAACTATAAAATAAATACCTTATGTTTGTCCTAAACGAGCTAATGCCCTAGGAAACGTAAGAAACGAAAGAGATGGTCAGTGATGGAGGCAAACTGACCGTACGTTTAAGAGCCGATTGAAAGTTTAAAAATTAATTCGGTGAGAAATTCTCTAAATTATAGAAACATAATAAAATTAAGCAATAGGTACATATAATACATAGAAAATATAGAATATATATATATAATATAAAAAATATGAATATTTACCGAATGCACAATGAGCAGCATTCTAACATCAAACAAACCAGGTAAACGTAACCAGTAGAGACCTCGGTTGAGTAATTGTGTATAACACATGACGTAAATTCGGTATAGGCATAGTCGTTAACCAAACGAATAAATATAATTTAAGGAACCACGTTGACCATAAAAATGAAGGTTTTCCTCGCATTTACTTAAGTTCCGCAACCCAAATAATCCGATACCCAACATTCTAATGGTTATTATGAACACGTATAAATAATATATTTAGCTCTGACTATCCCGAAAGTTTAAGTAGTTCGTAAAAAAAAAAAAAGAGGTTTCTCGAGATACAGTATGTGTATGAGTAAAATAAACGAATAAAACGTAACGATGTTTAAGCGATTTTTAATTTGCGAAATGAATAACGATTTTTTTTAAAAAAAAACAAACGTCGAAAAATTGTAAACGAAATAATTATAACAAAAAGGAAGGAACGTGTGCTGTTTCTGAGTCAAAGCGAAAACTTGAAAAGTTGGAAAAAAAAATCGAATTTGAAAAATTGAAGTACGATAGTGCCGCAAAAAAAAAAAAAAAAAAGGAAAAAAAGAAATTATAAGCGTAAAAATTTTTGGCATATGGTAAAGTTTTATTTTTTCATTAGAATGAAACGATAGGCATAGAAAAAAGGGTTAAAAAAGGTTTCGCGATGATTCAGAAACCACACACTTTAACGAAACGTCATTATAAAAAAAAAAAATAGGAGAAAATCCTGTGTTTGATGTTTTTGAGGAGAATCCTAAGGTATAAAGTAGCTGGCTGGTATGCGCTTTTATAATAAAAAGAGCTTATGATAATTGCGATATGTGAAATGTGAGATAAAAGTCGGAAGATGTGTTCAAAATACCGTTGGGTCACATTGAATACAAACTTTGTACGTACTGTACGTACGTACGTACGTATGTATGTATGTATGTACGTACATACATGTACAGAAAAGGTTTGTATGATTTCTCCGACACCTAATTCCTACCAACACTAACTCTAAATCATGCCAATCCTAATTCTAAATCAAGCCAACATTATCTATCGGGGAAATGAACGTCATTGGTGCAGGGAGTAAAATGGTATAAATGGAATCATTCAAAGTAATCCTACACTGAGTTAACCGAGTAAGTTGTCAATCCTGTCAAACTCCACACATAATCAGTGTCCAATGCGTCTGTCAAATAAAAAAAAAAAATGAGGACAATCACAATTCAAAATCCCATTATTCTTTGTAAAACGATGTTCTTTCACATTGATAAACAATAGAATTATATTGTTCCACATTTATCACTGACACTTAAATCCTTGCATTATATGTGTGGAGTAGATAAATGTCTGCAAACAGTAAGTCAATTTTTGCGGGGAAACCAAAACTGATTGGTGCTTTAATCTAGGTGTACGATTTTAATCGACTTGTTCATTCATTCAATCGCAATGCTAACATTTTAATATCACAATAATAATGATACTAATATTTTATTTTCAACAAAATATATTTAAATAGTTTGATTAAAGTGTGTGATCAGGTGCATTGCAAACAAATTAGACAAATCGAAAATCAGTCTATATCGATATGTATGCATTATAGAGTATGCATATTTATATGCTTATAAGTACGTCTGTTTACGTCAGTTCAAAAATCATAACGATAAAGAATTCTCCACAAAAGTACAAATAACTATTTGATATGGAAATGCCCATACATGAATGAGTTATCATTCGTGTAATATCAAAAACAGGATCCATCCCATAATAGATAAAAATCACACCTCTTTATCCTGGTTACATTAACTACTGATTAAACTTTGTTTATCGTTATATTTTTATTTTTTAAGTAATTCATGAGCGATGAAACGTACGTACGTATCTAAGTACAATAGGGTACTTACGTATGAATTACACTCGCTCCAAGATGAGCACAAGAAAGGTACAAGAAGAGTACACAAATGCATTACAGTTTCAAAAAACTATCGCAATGATACGATTTTTTAATCGAATGACTTCCAGTTTCTGTTACTTTATTTATTCTTAATAAATGTATCACAAATTTACCCCGATGTTTACAATCAGCTACGCAAATATTTGTGATTTTGTCAAAGTTAATAAATATTAAACTATTTTTTAAATATTATCAAATATTAATGATTTGAAAATAGACATAAAAAACATCAAATTTGACATACGTTACGTATTTAAAATTTCTCGTTATCTGAAATGCATAAATAAACTAAGGTTCGTATACCAGTTATATGACGTAGTAAGTTTGACATCTCATAAAGAAATCCCTATTTTACATTATGATAAAGAACTTTGGCGTTTGTTTATTTTCTTGTTTGTTGCATATTTTATTAATTATAGAAAATTACGTATGTACGTACGTAAGTACATAACATACATACGTACGTACTTACGTGCTTACGTATGTATAGTACGTAAGTACGTACGTACGTACTTGCGTAGAATACATTGATACATTGTTCTTTAGCCAAACGTATCTTTTAAAAAAAACGCGTCATATGATTTAAGTTTGAATTTAGACAATGAGTATGATTGAGTAATTATCTACCTCTAAAAATTCATTCGGATATCTCCGATAAGACGAGTTTCCTTACATGGTGAAGAACATATGATCTCTAAAGCTACTACTGCAAACCCGTGCATTTAGTTAAAAGTCACATGACCATTTCAAAAAGGTCCACAAACAATAGTTCATTCCACGTTCTTATATACAAATATTAGTTATCTTAGATTTTTTTTTATTAATATATTGTCCTAATTCTTGCATTGTTACGTAAATAGTAAGTAATTCATGTTAATTTATTATACTGTATCATACCCGTGATATTAATAAATTATTGCCCAGGATACGTTTTAATTACGCCGACTTAACAAATTGGTTTACGAATCACTTTTTTTGATTAACTGATTTAATCTCCTTTTTCATTTAAAAAAAAAAAAGATGGTATAATATCATTTATGTAAACTTATGCAAAACAAAAATAGAATCCATCATTAGGACAACCACGTTTTTCGCACTTCTTATTTCGCTTTCATTAATGCTGATATTATTATCTCTCGATCAAACAAAGAAACAATCTGAAGAGAAAGCTGTAACTTCTCAGCCAAGTCTCTCAACTTCTTAATATGATTTCTAATTTAACTCTTAAATAGAAACTTAATAAAAAAAGATCAGAGAATCGGTTAGGCCGATTAAAAGTATTAATACTGTATTAGGGGTCCTTAAAGTAATACACAACCGTGGAGCCCCTGCAATAAACATTTTCATCATCATTTGCTTAATCGAATGGTCATTACTATTATAGCCGTTAACGTTAACATTAAGTTAAGCCACTCAATTACCCATATGCGTCTTTACATCTACTGTAAAATCTACCCATTATTGGATAGATAGGGAAGGTAACAGAACCAGCCCAGTTCAGTAAGGCGAGCAATAATGAAACACAAGATGTTAACATCATTAACGTTAAAAAAGCAAATCCTTAAATATTTATTATCTTTCATCAATTTATAAAATCTTTCATTGATACAAAATACTTTACCTTATATTTTCATATGATTACTATAATTACAGTAAATCTCTTATTTCTTTTATACATTCATTAAATATCCTCTTCAATTTCCGTAATATTATATAAACAGGATTAATACTCATTCTCTCAACGATACTTCACATGCTATCATTTTAATCTTACCCCTTAAATTACTGTAATTACTTCATACACGCATTTAATTACTTCCCCACAAAAGGCTAAATTTTAACATGTGATCTACAGTGTGACCACTTGACCTCACAATAAGTCGATTTCGTTACTAGCTGATCTATGAATATTGATAGACTTGAGACGTTCAAGCTGACTAAAAAAAATAATGAAAATGGATTTCTTTTAGTCGGAAAAATATATATCGCTTTTTTTCCGTAACCATATCGAAATTTTGCTATTCTATGATATACCGATATAATTTATCTGATTTTTTAAAATTTGAAATTCTCCAAATTCGATATTGAATTGATGTATATCAGTCTGTCAGATTATATTATAGTTTAGTATATGTAAAATCGCTGCTTATTAAATCGTCTATATATTTTTTTTAACTCCTTGTTATAACACTAAACTTGTAACAAATATGGGCCTTTTATGTAAGCTATCTCAACGATTAGTTAGTCGAGTCGTTATGCAGATCAGGGGTAGATTTTTAAGTGATTTACATCTACCGGGTCGGGTACATACGTATATGAGTGCGGCCATGGGAAAACCTGACATCAAGTTTTCAATTATATTTATACCGAGCATAACCTATTTAATTTATTAAGAAATATGTCTGGTAATTGAAAACCCCGATGACAGGTTTTCTCTTGGCAGCCCTCATATGTAAAATCTTTTCTTTATATGTAGTAAATTGCAATGGTGGCCTACTTTTATTACTGGTTTTGAAGGGTTCATAAAAGAAAAAATTGCACTTACGAGATATAGTACAACGATTTAAAATATTAAATGCCATATTGAGTTTAAGTTTAAATAGTATTTTAATAATTTATATATTATAATCAGGGTTGTCAAATTACTATGTTTGTTCTATTGGCTTCTAATTCTATTCACTTTTTTCATTTTTCTATTGTAAATTTCCAGTATTAAATTTTACTAATTAAATATAAAAAATATTTTAAATTTATAATTTTACTAATAGTCTA